CACTCAGTCTCAAACACATAACTAAATAAATAAGGTTCAACATATAGAACATACAGATTTTATAGAACATACAGAATATACAGATTATAGAGAACATACAGATTATAGAGAACACAGAATATATAGATTCTATAGAATATACAGAACATACAGATTATAGAGAACATACAGAACATACAGATTCTATAGAATATACAGATTATATAGAACATACAGAACACAGATTATATAGAACATACAGAACATACAGATTCTATAGAATATACAGAACATACAGATTATAGAGAACATACAGATTATATAGAATATACAGAACATACTAGATTATAGAGAACATACAGAACATACAGATTATATAGAACATACAGATTATATAGAACATACAGATTATATAGAACATACAGAACACACAGATTATATAGAACATACAGATTATATAGAACATACAGATTATATAGAACATACAGAACACACAGATTATATAGAACATACAGAACATACAGATTCTATAGAATATACAGAACATACAGATTATAGAGAACATACAGAACATACAGATTATATAGAACATACAGATTATATAGAACATACAGAACATACAGATTATATAGAATATAGAGAACATACAGATTATATAGAATATACAGAACATACAGATTATAGAGAACATACAGAACATACAGATTATATAGAACATGCAGAACATACAAATTATAGAGAACATACAGAACACATACTGGTAGAACATACATAACATACAGATTATATGGAACATACAGAATCTATGCAACAGACAGAAGAGGTTGAGAAACATTTGGTAACATGTTTTCTTCACTTGGGGACCAGTTATTTATTGTAGGGTTGGGGTGGGTCAGAGAGTTTTGATGTGCTAATGTACTGAAAATAATGACTCCCCTATGACTCCCCTATAATGCTTGTCATATTTTTGGATGACCCTCCCATGTCCTTGTACAGATTTTCCATGACCCTCTCAGAGAAGACAAAATGCAATGCAAAAGCACTGTACCTTTTATTTATTATACCCTTTATGTATTGTTTTGTTTGACCCTTACCCACATACTACCAGATTTAGTTTTGGTGCCCCTCCCCCATATTCCATCCTCCCCCACCCCCACCCCCCATCCCCCACTAATTTGTTATAAGTTTAAACAAAAGCAGTAACTTCTGTAAGGTGTCAGGCAATAAACACATGCTTGTTTATGCATATTGTTTGATTGGCGGGCACTACCAGTAGCGCAGGACATAGGTACACTGTTCACAAACACCAGGGCCCACTTGCACAAAGCGATCTTAGCGCTAAGATGATCGTAACTCCCATACTTTAACATAGGCTTACAATAGTCGTAGCGCTAAGATCGCTTTAGTCGTAGCATTAAGATCGCTTTGTGCAAGTGGGCCCTGATGATTTTCAGGGATCTATTCATATAATTTGTAACTGCTAATTTGCCTTTTATGCCTAGTGGAATCATCTTTTATGCCTAGTGGGATCATTTTTTATGCCTAGTGGGATTATCTTTTATGCCTAGTGGAACCATCTTTTATGCCTAGTGGAATCATCTTTTATGCCTAGTGGAATCATCTTTTATGCCTAGTGGGATTATCATGGCTGGCTATTCTCTGGTGTTGACCTTTCAAAATGTTTTCAGAGAAATACCTATCCTCTTTATCAACAGCTGATGATAATTAACACAACATTACCATTTCGATATATTTTCATTTACTTCCATAGGCAATCGTTCTTCAAGACATTTTGGGAACTTCGAAAGTTCGACAGATGATTATTAATTTAAATGACGGACATCATATGTCAACTTTGGAAGATGAAAGGAATACAACTGTGACAGATATAACATGTCTAGATCTCTCTAATTTTGGACAAAATATTTCAAATATGTTAAAGGCGTCTCAACGTATTGTAGTTGTCAGGGTGATAGTTTCTGACATTTGCTGAGATGAGATTTGGAAGGAAAGCCTTTTGTTATCAATATGTCTTGCATTATTTATCGAGATGAATTATCAATATGTGATTGAACAGATTAGTTTAACATGGAATCTTGAAGGTCATCAGGCTGGGTTCCAAGGTCGGAGGGCACTAAATCATCTGTCTCTGCCTCCTTGTCAATTGATAATCCGTAGGTATAATGTGACTGGAAACAGTTTAAATATTTCATCCTTTTAGGGTTTAGAGATAAGCTATAGATGTTTGACTTTAGTTCTTACACATCAAGGCACTTCTGTTTCGAAAAGAAATGGGTGTATTCTATTTTTGTAATTTTTATATTTTTATGAAAATATTTATTTTGACCTACACTAAAAAAGTGTGTTGGCCCAATGGCCCAATTTAGAGTCTTGTATGTCTTTCATCTGTGGTAGGATCTGTTGTTTGTGTGTTAAAGATGGCACAGTAGTGAGTTGACACAATTTGCTGTGCAGAGTTGTGCCCCTTATGTGTGCCAGAATCCTGTGATTGTTGGTTGAATTCCTGAATTACCCTGATGATATTTCTTGGGAAGTTAACGTCATACCTGTGCTTGTGGCTTTCATCACTTCTCACTTACTCACTCACTGAAATCTCAAATTCTCAGATTTCACAATCTCCCTGATTATGACCCTTGGTCTGTCGATCACCAGCAACGTGGTAACTGTCTTCAATCTGCATGGCATTATGATATAACTGAAATATTGTTTATGGTGATGTTAAACTCAACTTACTCAAAAAGAGAGGTGACATGAGCGTATGGATGCACAACTTGCTCTTCAGAAACTTGCTCTTCTTATGTAACAAATGTATTCAAATAATACCACCATTAGTTGAGAAAGGTCTGTTCAGAACTATATCAGTAATTCAGTCACAATGACAGCGTGTCATAATCAAGTACAAGATGTCAAAATGGCCGACACGATAAATGTGACGGGATTGATTTCGGGAGTTGCTAATGAAATTACTTTTTGAGCACTAAATAAAAAAAATTGATGTTTTTATTCAAAAGGATCCTTCAGACATCACTCTTCCTAACCGTGATTTTAAGGGATGACACAAAGATGCCTTATCATATAGATAGTGTTAAAACATCTGCCCACACGCAAATGCACACATGACGTCAAATGCACATTTGGCATCACACACACATGACATCACACGCACATATGACATAACACGCAAATAAGATATCACACGCACACATGAAATCACACACATATGACATCACACACACATATGACATCACACGCACATGATACGACACGCACATGACATCACATGCACATATGACATCACATGCACATATGACATCACACGCACATATGACATCACATGCACATGTGACATCAAATGCACATATGACATTGAACGCACATGACATGACACGCACATGACATCACATGCACATATGACATCACACGCGCATATGACATCACAAGCACATATGACATCACACGCACATATGACATCACATGCACATATGACATCAAATGCACATATGCCATCACACGTACATATGACATCACAAGCACATATGACATCAAATGCACATATGATATCACACGCACACATGACATCACACGCACATAAGGCATCACACGCACATATGACATCACACGCACATGACATCACACGCTACCGCGACGAGATCATCGGCCCTGTTGTTCTACCGTTTTTGTGTCGCCATGGCCCAGGCATTACCTTTCAACATGACAACCCCTGGCCTCATATTGCTCGACTTGTTAAGGATTCTCTTCAACAATACAACGTGAATGACATCCCCTGGCCGGCTCGCTCCCTTGATCTCTCACCAATCGAGCACATGTGGGATGAGATGGATCGGCGCCTTCGACGTCAACCACATGTTCCACAGACACTCCAGGAACTTCGAAACATGCTCCAGCAGATATGGACAGATATCCCACAGGACTTTGTGCGATGCCTGGTCCATTCCATGAGACGAAGATGTGTTGCTTGCATCGCAACCAGAGGTGGACACACACGCTATTGATTTGTAAATTGACGTTTTGGCATGTTCATGTTTTTTTTATGAAATCACACGTTTTCTGAAGTCAGTGTGGCAAATTAAACCATATGAACACTGACAGGAGTCTTTTATCTGTTGCAAACCGAAATTGTTTCAGATTTGGTAAAAAACATAACTTTGCATTAAATCTTATTCAATTTCACAGGAACTTTTGTTGTTCAGTATATATTCGTAACATTTGACTTTTCTCCTTTTATTTTAACTGAGTTATTTTTGTACCATAAGTATTGTATTTTTAACCATATGTAAAAAAAGGATGATTAAAAGGTTCTGTTTTTGTCATATAAAAATCCCTAGTTTTTGTTTATTGTCAAAGTGATTTTTACATAAGGGAGTTTTAAATAAGGTTTTCATAAGAACTGGCTGAGAGATTAAGGGTTAAAATACTCATTATTTTCATCAACTTAAAGTCAATCACACATTTACAGCTAGCCTTTTCAATTAAATATCACCCCATTCTGACACCCTTAATCCAAACTCCCAACATGTTCGCTGTTTATAGACAAACACAAGTCAGTTTGTCCTTTGTTCACCATGTCTGACAAGCGCTCAAACACTGCCTCAGTGAAATAACAATCATGATATCCTCTCATCAAACTCATACACCATACAATACCGTCTCCTCCAAACACAATCTCGGACACAAACACAATCTCAAACACAATCTCAGACACAAACACAATCTCCAACTATACAACACAGGGACTCGGTAGTCTCTTTTGTAGCCTTTCTGTCCACTTTGTTATCATCCAGAAAATAATCACCATTCAGAAAAAGTCCATTACAGATGTGCCCTATTAAACTGCCTCTACTCCAACACTCAATGCACAGTCTATTATAACACTATAAAGTGGCCATGACCATTTCCACTTCAAGGTCTCCTAGAAGAAAGACCTTCAAATGAACATCTCCATCGCCTCTGCTTAACCAGCAGGCCTATCCAGCCTACTGAACGAGCCTGAACGAACCAAGCATCACCCACCACACGCTCCCTCCCTCAGCATCAGTCAGCTGATCGCCACCACAGCGAGCAGTTGGCGTTCCCTGCCCTGCCCACATCTTAGCAAACCAGTGATGTTTATATTATTGCTGGAGAATAATTCCACCAGATGACTGACAGAGCTGTAGACTAATCGGATTTGAAACCTGTGCTGGTCCTCAAGCTTGGACAACCCTGTGAGGAGCAGGATTAGAGGTATTTTAACACCAACCTGTACATGTTGATGTGAGGAGTATACACTTTCATTCAGGCAGTTGCTGAGAGAATTTACGATATTCTGGAAGCAGGTTATAAGCACCTGTTTGTGCTGAGGATTTACACTGATCCGATGGGGATACTTGATTAGGCAGGTGAGTTATCTGACTTTGTTGTACTTCTTAACGCATCCCCTGCATTGTATGGATGAAGCTGTGAATGTGCCACTGTGGACAAGTATACATAGAGTGTGAATGGGTGGATCTAATGATGTAAGTCACACTCCAAACTTCAGAAGAATCAGGCGTGTTCACAATAACAAGTGAGAGCCAGCCAGAAACCTGTACGCTCTAACACACCAGGAAATGGTCCAGAATGAAAAGTGTATATTTATTTTGGGATCCAGCTCATCTGGTACCTGTTAGCCCGAAGATGATTTTGATGGAAAACATTTGAAATGTGTGAACTAAAATGGTTCTGTACTGTATGAACTAACTCTTTGTCTTGTTAAGGAAAGAAAAATATTGTTTCAAATTAAACAAACATGCAGCTAGCATAGCCACTGTTTCATTTATCAGCTATACTCCTCGTCTGCTGAATCAATACGACGAGGCTAACAGAGCATAGCATCCAGGTGTATAATGGAAAAAAGCTTCTTTTCATCGTCTGAAAACTATAGTGGTCTCAAAACAGAGTATTGATACATTTTGTACATATGACATCTTGTCACCATGACGAGGTGATTGTTAGATGAAGCTGCAGGTGTATAAATATATGATGTAGAGTATACAAGGCTCTTCACTACTCAAAGCATCTCATTATTATGTCAACATTGGATGGTTTAGGTGTGTGAATTTCAAGATCAGGGTTGGTATGCAACTGAATTATTTTACATGACTTTTTTTCTTTTTCTTTTTTTCTTTTTTTGTGCCACAATTTTACAACAGGACCAAGTGTTTTGACATGAATTTGGATCCCTCATTTGCTTGTTGGCTGAAACCTGTCAGTCGTTTCAGAATACCAATGCAAACTGATATACTTTTGAAAACCTGCTGGAATCCGGATGTTAACCCTCTGATATGTATAAAGTCATTCGTCAGTGTTATGGAATCCAGTGTTGAAAACATATTAAGGATGAAGTTTTGTTTGCAATCTGTCAGTCTTGATGGAATAGCATTTGAAACATTAATATTTATGAAATATGCTGTTGGAAAGCTGTCAGTCGTGATGGAATATCATTTCATAGCTGTTGGAAAATGGTAACAATTTTTTCCGGAAGCCTGTTAATGTGGATGGAATAGTATTGGAAACCTGTGAATCTTTATAGGTAATATGGCTGTAATCTTGATCCTATTTTTCATCCGTTGTTGTAAATCTGTAGTATTTGCTGAATATTTTTAGTGAGCAATCTGTCCAATGAGGTTTCAAATTTAAAACAGTAATAATATTAATATGAAGGGAATCAAGGTGACCTATTTTACCACTCTTGTACATAATCTGACCAACAGTGTGGCACTATCACCATGACAACGGTAAAATGTGTTTATGTGAAAACTGCCATGGTTAACAAGTTTGTTTGTTTGTTGTTTGTTGTTTAATGCCGCACTCAGCAATATTCCAGCTATATATATGACGGCGGTCTGTAAATAATTGAGTCAGGACCAGACAATCCACTGATTGACATCATGAGCATCGATCCACACAATTGGGATACGATGACATGCTTCAATCAAGTCAGCGAGCCTGACCACCCGATCCCGTTAGTCGCCTCTTACGACAAGCATAGTCACCTTTTACAGCAAGCATGGGTTGCTGAAGACATATTCTACCCCGGATCTTCACGGGTCGGTTAACAAGTCCCCATTATAGACTCATCGTTAGTCTGTCATACAGACCCTGAAACAAATATAGACAGCCCTTGCAAGTCTATAATGTTTGGCAAGTCTAGATTACTGCAGTATCAGGGTCTGTACAAATCTGCTGAATTCTGAAAATGAAGAGAGTCTCTGGGCTCCTTTTTATTATATTTTTATGAAGATAATTTAACAACTTTCAGAGACGAGATGTTAGTCTAACTTAGGGTAAGACACAGATAGGGTCTGAATCCCATGTGTTGACTGTGTCCAACTAGTCTTGATTGTGGAGGAAAAGCATCACTGTTAAGCTGCTTTGTGTCAAAGCGCTGTACATCACAATGTGTGTGTGTCATTTATCCTTGCTGCAAGCCTGATGTTGAGTCCTCAGAGTGCTGAATGATGCTGGAGATGCTGGAGACAATTCAAACATTACTTGTATTTTATACATTAACAGAAGAAGAGGATGTGACTTGATGTAAGAAGCTCTTAGTCAAGCTAAAAACAAAGTCTTGACACTGAGGGAGGGAGTGAACGAGGGAGGTATATATATATATATATCATGGGCGGATACAGCTTTTTTGAAAAGGGTGGGTGCACAATTAAGATCTATTTATTGTCTTTGGTGGTAATTTATACAGAAATAAAGATTTTTTTCGAAATAAAAAGGGGGGGGTGCGCACCCCCTGCACCCCCCCTCTGTATCCGCCCATGTATATACATTGATATAGTTGATAAACAGTTTCGAGACTGAAGCAGACATGTTGGAGAAAGAAGTTTGAAGATGCTGGTATTACTAAATCTCTGCAGATTGTATTGGGGATTGTGTTACAGAGTGGAGTGTCCATTGCTTTGGCTTGACAGCATAGTGATCATGACAGTTTATCAGTTTTTCAGTTTATATCTGGCTGATAGTGGAATAAAAGGATTCGTAGCCAAGATAATCACATCCTTGAGTGAGTGAGTGGGTGACTCAGTGAGTGAGTTGGTGAGTGAGTGAGTGGGTGAGTGAGTGAGTGAGTGAGTGGGTGCGAGCGAGAGAGAAGGTGGGTGGTTGAGTGAGTGGGTGGGTGGGTGGATGGGTGAGTGAGTGAGTGGGTGGGTGGGTGGGGTTTGGGTGAGTGATAGAGTGAGTGAGTGGGTGAGTGAGTGAATGGGTGGGTGAGTGAGTGAGTGAGTGAGGATGGGTGGTAGTGAGTTAAGTAGTGGGTGAGTGAGTGAGTGATAGAGTGAGTGAGTGGGTGACTCAGTGAGTGAGTGGGTGAGTGAGTGAATGGGTGAGTGAGTGAGTGAGTGAGTGAGGATGGGTGGTAGTGAGTTTAGTAGTGGGTGAGTGAGTGAGTGAGTGGGTGGGTTAGTGAGTTAGAAAGTGGGTGAGTGAGTGAGTGCAGGCAGGTAGGCAGGCGAGCGGTCAGGTGGGTCGATGGTAGTGAGTGAATGAGTGAGTGTCGTAATGCTGCTATATTCAGACTCATCACAGCGTGTCAGTTTGATGCGGGAGGAAGCAAGGAGCCAAGCATATATGTTAGGTTTATGTTAACCTAAAGAAATTTGGCTGTGGCCGCCAGTTGCCTACTGTTTCCTGATTGGCTGATAATAGGATGGGTGGGGCCTGTGAGCAGAAAGATGTGACTGGTATCCTTCCATCTGCATTTTTGTGTGTTAACGATAAGAGAAGGAGAAATTTTTGTTGAGTTATTTATTTATAAGAGATGACTTGAATGTATTTGTAGGTATAAAAGTAAGAAGTGGTGTGTACACATTATGCATGCCAATATTTATATTTAAACCTTGATCCATCAACACAAAAAATATTGAAGTATTTAAGCCATATGTGGGTACCAAGTGGGATGAGAATCAAACAATGATAATATCACATGAATTTGAAAAAAGGGGAGAAATGGGATTGGTTGGTTAATCTGAAATACAACATATAGCTTTCATAGGACTTCGACTTCCAGACTTATTTTAAGTTTTAACTAAGTTGTGGAAGATTAAGAGTAGAAAATAGACAGTATTTCCATGCATCAGCTTGATGTTGGAGGAAAGCCCCAAATGATGAATATTAACTACTTTTTTTAAACTAACAAGCATGGAATAGTGCTGAAAGACCAAGGACCCTTATGTGGGGAAATCTGGGATTCAAACACATGATCATCAAATCCTGACACAACTAAGGGATGTAACTCTATGCAGCAAAATGCAGAGCTTTCAGTACAGCATTCATCCAGCATCCCTATCTCAAACAGCTTTCATGGAATAGCACTAGCTCGACTTTTTAATTCATGTTTTAGAATTATTTCGCTTTTATAAAAAGACCCATGAAGATCCGGGGTAGAATAGGTCTTCAGCAACCCATGCTTGCCATAAAAGGCAACTATACTTGTCGTAAGAGACGACTAACAGGTTCGGGTGGCCAGGCTCGCTGACTTGGTTGAAGCATGACATCGATCCAAATTGCGTGGAACGAAGCTCATGATATCAATCACTGGATTGTCTGAGTGCGGTGTAAAACAACAAACCAACCAAACCAATCATAAAATACATATATTCCAAAGTTATGATGCAGAATGGGGGGCACGGGTGGCCCAGTCTCCTAAGGCGCCGAGATTCGCTGTGCAGAGTTGCATCCCTAAGGCATGCCAGAAACCTATGATTGCGGGTTCGAATCCTGGTTCGCCCAAATTATGTTTCTAGGTTTGTCAGCACCATACCCACCATGCTCGTGTGTTTCACCGAAGTGGTAAACGTCTAAGACCTGCATCACTTCAGGCTTTCCTCCCACATGAAGCTGACACGCCGTGATATAACTGGAATACTGTTAAAAGCAGCGTTAAACCCAACTCATTCACTCACTCATAATGCAGAAAAAAATCCCTGGTTGAGCGCCATAATAGGTCATGTGTTCCACCAGACAGCTGACATTTGCTTCTGGTATGACTATGTCAGTGATTTACGGCTTTTAAGATAAGCTTTAATAATTCATTGGAATTGTATTTTCATATTTTATGACACTGTGCCATTCTTTATTCTTGATTTGAATCTAAGAATACAGCTACAGATATAATTGACATGATAATTGTTCACAGCTAGTTACATTTTCAAAGGGTAACAGAAATGTTATTGTTTTTAAAAAAATCGTTGTGAGTAGATGAGGAAAAATAGATAAAATATTTTGATAGTTTTGTGTCTTCAAGAGTTATCTGAACATGTCTCCATGTGTGGCTTCTCCTTGGAGATGGTCAGGCAGCCTTGCCATTAAGTAGGCTGCTGGGCAGAGAAAGTATATATCATGTCAAGCT